AACAGAAACCACAGGTGTCTTTTCGGAGAAGTGTTTCTGTTTTACAAACATCCTGGGTGCCTCTGTACCCCGGGAGTCAAGTCATTGTCACCTTGTCTCAGACAAGGGTGCTGGTCCTCCCCGGAAGCATCACAGACTAGTGAGAGCCCCAGGCATGGAAACCAAGAATCATGGCAACACAATATGTAGTCTCTAAGGGAGATATGAAAAGAGTGCTTCTAGAGCACAGAAAGAGGGACCATCTGTGCTAGGGGCGTCTTAGAAAAGATGAAGGTGGTGGTAGGAGGCGGGGGGGCTTTCCTGGAAGAAAGAATACGTGTATGCAAGTGTGAATTCATGTTTATGACCATGGTGGTATGTCTAGGCATGGTTGTATATGAATCTGAGTGTGTACCTGTTTATATGGGTTTACTCATGTGTGAATTTACACACACGCAGACTGTAAGTGTGGAAGAAGAAAGCCTGAAGACAAAAGAAGGTGTGCTTGGATCCACACACGCTACAACAGAATCTGGCCTGCCTTGGATGATCGCCCCATTTCTCCTCCCTCCCCCCAACACTGGGGTATCCAGAGATACCAGTTGTTTCCCACTCTAACAATTGCCTCATGGGCTATGGTGATTAGACCCACCAGGTTTTCAATCTATCAGTCTGAATGTGTAGTAGTCTGATAGAGCGCACCACTTGTGTGAGTGGTAGGGGGTGAAGAGTACCAGTATCTATAGGTGTATATCTGTTTGCACACTTATGGTTATGTGTGAAAGTTTAGTGTTGGCTGTTCCTAGCCAGACTGGGGGAACCTCCCTTCTTCTTTCATCTTCACTGTCTTAGGAATTTATACATTTACCTGTTTCCATTGCCACCCAAATGTGGCCAGTTCCTGCCTTCACTTAAATGTCCTAGGGTATTTAACTTTAATTCTGTACTGGGGCTGGGCAGAGGCAAGGCTGGAAATGGCTGGTGCCCATTTTCTGTGGAGGTACTCTGTGCTCCCCCTGACCCCACTCCACCCCATTCTGGTCTAGGAATCTCCCAGAGGATGAAAAATGTTTGAAAAGGCAAACAGGACTGGTGGCAGCCATGAGGAACTCAGAGTATCACTCCCAGGAATGGAATGATCACCCCCCTCTCTTGATGATAAATCCCATTTTTAAGGCAAAATTGATCACAGAGGGAAAGTGAGGACTCCTGTCTCCACAGATGCTGCCTCAGGGATTGGAGAGATGACAGGTAAGACTGCAATACTCTATTTCTTTTAAACTTACACAATCAAAAGAGCTAAAATGATTCCAAATAATGTGTAATTGATGGTGAATAACAGTACCTCTACAAAGTGACCAAATAGTTGAAGTAGATTTTCTCTTTTGTCATAAAGTATATAAATTCAGGGCTGTGGGGTCATGTGAGGCAAAAGTATTATGTGCTGGAATACACTGATGATTTGTGAGTGTTTATTGCTTGGTCCAGTACACTGCCACACAGCTAAATATTCACATATTAAAATAAGCAACAATGAACTGCAATAATCAACACATGTAACATGCCATATTTTAAGCTGAATGAATGAGTGGGTGAAGAGAAAAACAAACATATTTAGAAAAGAAGAATCATCTCATATAGTGATCCCCGAAATAACGCCACCTGGATTCTGTTCTCAGTTTCACCAATGACTTAATCTATTGAAAGCTTTTCTTTTTACTTTTTTAAAATCATATATGGGAAAATTAGTCAAGGGGCAGAATATCTCTCAAAAACATGAATATGCTTAATCAAACCTTGTTGAAGTGTCTTTTAAAATGTAAATGATCACCAATAAATGTTAGTTGTTGCAAATCTATGTTTATTGTGGCACCATATATAATATATGTTTCCATGTTCAGGACACAAACATTATCCTAAATTGTAAGGGAGGATGCTAGTTTTATAATATGACAAGAGAATTTTTCCATAGTCAATATGTTGCTTATTTGCACTTAGCTACATTGCATCAATAATCTGAAAAAGAGAAATAGCCTGGTTATGGCTAGAGATTCTGATTAGAGGCTAAGATTTCTATCATGGACTGCTTTCAACTGTTATATTTTATGGCACAGATTCAGTGGGAATCTGATCTGCTAAAATATTTGGGCTGTGAAAACTCCCACACTGTGACAGATGTCAAGTCCAATTAAGTGACTCATGTCCAGGTTTCTGTCCAATAGGATTTCCCATTAAATATCAATTTAGGGAAAAAAATTCCATCCCCCTTCTTAAGCCTTTATCTCTTCCACCATCTCCAGGCTGAATCAATTGGTACCAAGAGAGCCAAGAAGCCACACACGCATCTCTGTCTCTTTGCTCTGGCTCTCCCACCCTCTCGCCTCTTTCTCCGCTTCCCTGTCACTGTTACTCCGGGAGACGTTCACTTTTCACCAACCTTTCTCCAAGCATCTCCAAGCCACTGACTCTATATATTTTGCTACAAGGTAAAGAAAGGAGGGGGTGGGGGGTGGGCGATGTAACCAAGCCTTGAACGACTTTGAAACTGGAAATAGGTGTCTGTTTATACAACATACAAGTAAAGGAGGGAAGAGGAAGAGGCCAGCTTAGTTAGCCCGGAGTTACAGTATTGTGTTCCTGGGAACTGGGGAGACATCAGCTGAACAAAGCCTTATCTCAAAAAAAAAAAAAAAAAAAATCACTTCTGAGCAAGATCGCATCTCTGCCTTGCACTCCCCAGTTTCTGCTCAGCCGTATTAGGGAAGGAAGAGTCCTCAAAGGAGCGGAATCTTATCTTAACCATCTTTCTTATTGATTCTTCCGCTATTAGAAAGTGGAGGAATCAGTCCTTTGATGTGATTGTGTTTATCTCTGCATCTCTTTTGTTATTTATAGAGACCCAGAAGAGGAAGAGGCAAGAGACTTTGCAACACATCGTTAAAAAAAAAACAAAAACAAAAACAACGAATTTCCAGAAATGTTTGAGAACAATTAAAAGGAAAAGGCGTTTTTTTGATCTATCAACTAAGTGAACAATCATTCATAACCGTCCCTCGCTGTGGACACCAGCGAGATGACAGCTGCTTTTTCATTTTTGAATGTAATAAATATTTGCTGCTTTTAATATATTTCGGAATTTCTCCCCGCTATTCCCTGGGATTTTAACTCTAAAAGATTGGAGAAAAGATTATCGAAAGGGCTTTTACAAGGTAAGCCTCCTTTAAATGCTTTTTTTCCCAGCTTGGAACTAAGTTAGATTATGCATATCGCATTTATAGAGTATTTCATGAATGCCTGAAAAAACAAAATGCATATACGACATGTTCTATATGAATATTTTTAAAAGACACCTGGAGAAGTATTCAACATGCTTTGAGGGCAACCCAGGAACTTTTCATCCTATCTACAACTATGTTGTGGGTTATTGTAATTTTCCATTACTCGCCTATTTATTTATACCCTCTCAAGGCGAAGGTGTAGCTGTAAGCTGTTCTACTTATAAACGCGTCCGTGAAAAGCCCGAAGAGTCACATGTAATTCACTTGGAGCATTTGTTTTTATTTTGCCTTAGAGGACTTGTTTTCCTCGTAGGGAAATGAAAGCCGCCTTAGAGCCAAATTCGCACCTAACTAAGCAAGTGCGATGCTGGAAGCAGATCTCACAGCCCCAGCTTTTGTCTAGGAGCAAACCCGCACGTTGCAGAAGCGACCTATTCCCGGCTAGCACCCCTCCTGCCCAGCCGCACACGCGGGGCTCGGGGCTGGCAGCTTGATCCGCCCTCTCGGCGCCCGAGATCGGTGCGCATAGCCTCAGCAGGTGCCTTCCCTGCCTGCTGGACCCTTTCTCGAAGCCCGAATTTCCTTGAAGCCCCAAGGATGGGAGCGACCCTATCCCAGTAGGCGCGCAATCGGGGCCGGTCCTCCAGGCGCCCAGGAGGAGCCGGGCACGGCGGCCTTTCTACGAGCGCATCCTTAGAGGAATCTGAAGCCAGACTACCTCGGCCTCGGGACCGAGGACCGGGGACCGCTGCGGGCTCCCGACTCTGCGCTCCGGAGCACCGAACTTTGTGGGCTGGCGTTGCAGCTCCGGCCGGGGCAGCAGGCGCGGCGCCCGCCTCCCCCCACCCCGGCCCGTGCCTTCCCTCCTTTCTCTCCTCATGCAGCCACCCGGCCGCCGACCTATTCCTGGGAGGTGGTCGGCAGACTGCGGGCGCATTGTCTTATCCCACGTCGCCGCGTCCCTAGGTCCCCGAAGTGTGTAGCTGTCTGTGTGACAGATGGTGCTTCGGGAGCCTGCGAGGGCATAAGAGTCCATTTGCTATTGAAAGGAGCCTCCACGTTGGTTCAGTCATCTCTTGATTATTGCGGAGAAGAGCGAGGGGTACGGGGAAGCCTTCCCACTCTGGGCCGTCTGTGCTTGGGGCTGAGTTCCTCAAGCCTCGGATGCCCCTTGCCCCAGGCCCACTCGAAGCCCGCGGGCGCCCTGCTCTCCCGCGGCTTCGCCCCAGGCCCTCTGGGCGGGAAGCGCGCTCCGTGTCTCCCCGTCCCCCAGCAAAACCCAGGTGGATTCGTCGTTCGGATTCATTCGTTTGTCAGGGTCGGAGAAGAAGTGAGGCAGGTGGAATGGCCAAGTTGTATTTAGTCGAAGGAAGCACAAAACCCAGTGGCGGCCTCGCAGGCCGGCGGCGGTTCCCCGGAGCAGGCCCGCAGGCCAGTCTCGGCCTCCCGGAGGCCGCGGTGTCAGGTCCGGGATGCGGCCTGGGCCAAGGCGAGGCCTCTCCGGCTCCTGCGCCAGGCGGAGGCTCGGGTCTTGGCCCTCGGGTCTGCCCGCCTCGGCGCGCTCCCTCCCCGCGGGACCCGCTCGGAGGAGCGAGCCGGACCGCCGTGGGAAGTTGGCCCGGGCCGCGCGGAAGCCCGGCGGGCTAGGCCCCCGACCGCTCTCGCTCCTATCCAAAGAAGGGCACCCCCCCCCCCCCATTTCCTTTTACTGATCGCTTTTCTGACTCCCCCTCAGCCTCCAAAATGATGCTGAGTCCGGACCAAGCCGCCGACTCGGACCACCCCAGCTCGGCGCACTCGGACCCGGAGTCGCTGGGCGGCGCAGACGCCAAGGTTCTGGGCAGCGTGTCGGACCTGGAGCCGGTGGAGGAGGCCGACGGCAAGGGCGGCAGCCGGGCCGCGCTCTACCCGCACCCGCCGCAGCTGAGCCGCGAGGAGAAGCGCCGCCGCCGGCGCGCCACCGCCAAGTACCGCTCAGCCCACGCCACCCGCGAGCGCATCCGGGTGGAGGCCTTCAACCTGGCCTTCGCCGAGCTCCGCAAACTGCTGCCCACGCTGCCCCCGGACAAGAAGCTGTCCAAGATCGAGATCCTGCGCCTGGCCATCTGCTACATCTCCTATCTCAACCACGTCCTGGACGTCTAGGGCCGGGGTCGCGGCTAGGGGCCGCCTGGCCGGGAGTGGGTGAAACGCGGCCCACCGGGGCGGCCGCCGCGGGGATGGCGGCGGAGGCGGCGGCCCAGCGGGACGGCGGCCACAGGCCTTGGACCCGGGAGGAGGCTCACATTGTGTTCTCTCCTGTCCGCCGGGCGACTCTGTAAGGTTTCCGACTCCAGAAGGGTGGGGTTGTCTGGGGAGTCCTGGGGCCTGCAAGGAGTGTTTTTCAGGCAAGGCGAACCTCCTGGAGGTACACAGACGAGTGACCTCCAGGCCTCCCCTCCACGTGTTAGGATGCCTTTAGGGATTGTTGCTTTAGCTCACTGGAGACTTTGAGTTCTCCTGCATTCATCTCCCACAGATCTTCATGTTTTGAAAGAATGAGGGGCAGAAGCTCAGAGTCTGGGCTTTTATCTTTAGACTATCTGGCTATTTTTTCTAATTGACAAATCACCAAACATTCGGAGGGGAGGGGGGGGGAGGGAATCGCGTTCAGGGCAAAGATTTAAGGCACAGAAAGGTGGAACACAGAAAACTTTATGTTCCATTGTGAAAAGAAAGGTTATAAAAGAATCCAAATGAAACAGACAAGCCTAGACTATTTGGTAAGGCTAAAAAGACACATTGAGATTAACCCCAAGGTCTGATGCTACCGGAGATAGGAGAATCCATATTTAAATGGAAAATTTAATATCTGATTGCTTTTTCAAGCGAAGTGCCCCTTTATATATCCAAAAACATCTATTTGTGACCTTAAACATGTGGACCCATAGGTGCAGTTAGAAAAAGACAACCTATTTTTATTTATGTTAGAAGGAGTAGAGTATTTTTTTCAGACATTTATTTTTCAGAGTGGTGATAATTTTACTTTGGATACTCTGTGCCAATTTATTTATAGTCAAGTGTTTACACTTTCTCCTTGTGGAATAATTATGTCTAACTTTTTATGGTGTTTGTTGAGATTATACTGTGGTCTTTCTTTTTGCTCTAATTATATTGCACTTGTATAACAAATTCCCCACACCTTCCTGTTTCTAAACATATTTTATATATTAAGATGTTTGTTGGTTCTTTTATTGTGAGATCAGCAACACTAGCACTTCACTATTATAGTTTTTTAAAAAGTAAGCGTTGTTATCCTTATCCGTAGTTATGTCTGAAAAGTACTTTGCGAACTGTTTAAAAGGAGAGTAGCTTCTTTGTGTGTGTGTGCGCGTGTGATGTTTGTGTGTGGGATGGTTTTAGGAAATTAAGTTATTTTCCTAAAAAAAAAAAAAAAAAGAATTCAGAACTACTTTCCTCTCTGACTACCAAAAAGAAAAGTCTATAACCTGATAATGTTTCATGTTCTCAGCTGTGAAATTCTTAAAACAAGGAGTGTATTTTAGAGATAAGGAGAAAAAAAAAAAAGAACCACATCTGCTATCCAAAGAATTTAGTCTTTTCAGGGTTTTTTTGTGTCTCTGTTGCTTTATATAATGCAATATTTTGTAGTGAAAATAGATATAATCTGGTTTCTATCTGACGAGTTTTTCATATCTCATGAATGGTGCGCTGTTTTGCATATAAATAAAGGTATCAAATAAAGTCATCTCCTTTATTTTAAACATACTGTCTAAAAATAATGAACATACTGACTGAGCATAAAATATCTTAATGGACTCAATTCCTCAGAAAGCAACTAATTAAAACAACAACAACAAAACTAAATCGTAACATGTATTGAGATGTTTGTTGCTCTTCCTGAACTTGGACATTGATCCGTCTATAAATAGATGCTCCACATACCATGGTGACATAGATCATGTTTCTCTCAATGAAGAAAAAAATTAGAGTGTTTATATTAAAACATTGCTTGAATCATAGATTAATTTTGCTCTAAAAGAAAATTTAGTAACCCAGTTTCTTCAAAGTAGAGTTGGGAAACTGAGGTGCAAAGAGTTTAAGTATCTAAGTCACATGACTACTTAATCGCAATGGGAAGATCCCTGGTATGATGACTCTCAGTCCTTATGGTACTTATTAAAAATAAGGTGCACTTTACTGTTGGAGCGCTGAGACATCTAATCAGGACATAGATTTAGAATATGATACCTGCATGTAAGGAAAATTAATTAAACCCTGGACCAAACTGGAGAGATGAAGAATATCATTTATAAAAGCCCATGTTGTTGTTATTGTTCAGTCGCTAAGTCATGTCTGACTCTTTGCTACCCCAGGAACTTTAGCACACCACAATAGCCTATATACTTTTATAAAAATGTGAAATATTCTGTCTACAAGCAGAAGACATGAATAACTTAAAAACTATTTATATGTGTATACGTACACACACATACATAGAATATTATCAATTATGAGTCTATATCACACCAAATCTCTGGTTGCAAAGTAAGAAATGTGATTATGTGGATGTTTGGTTATACAGCTATAAAATGTCTGGGATTCTGAGCATTTTTCACCTTTCATCCTAGTATCTTATAGTCAGGTTCACAGATGCGTGATCAATGAGACTTCATTCTCTTCTTCAGCTGAGGAAAGCACTTTCTTGGACATGAAAAATAATGGTGGCTTCTTTGGCCTTTTATCTGAACCAAGCTGTGGTTCCTGCAGCAGTGGCTAGTTATTTGGTCTGCACACCCACACTGTCTTTGGATTGAGTGTTCACAGGTCTTCCTCCCCACCTCGAGGAGTGTGCCTATGCCCAGTCCTTACAGAGTTTCTCTATTGTAGTACAGAAAATTCGGCCCTGCTCCTATGTCAAGAAAACGAAGTCAACTTCTAGGCTCCTTTTCCTGGTTTAGGACCCCAGCTTCCGATTGGCCAAGACAATCCTCTCACTGACAGCCAGGAAGAGCCTATTAACTCACCTCTCTAGACTAAGTCTCTTGCCCCTGGAGTTGGATGGAGGGCAGGCATGAACAAAGGGCAACATCCCATCCCTATCTAGGGACACAGTCCATATGATCTCAGGAAAGGATCTTTGCAATATCACTTCAAATCTGAGGCTTCTGAGCGCTCTCTAAAAAGAAAGGCAACACTGGCACTCTGCTGGACCAGTGGGTGACTGACTCCTCCCTAGCACCTGGCATGAACTCTGAGCATTCAGCCATAGGTAGGGGAGTAGCTCCGGGTAATGACAATGGTGCTCACTCACTCTTACATTCAACCAGTATCTATTGAGGACCTACTGTGTACCAGGGGTCCAGTCTAAGGTACTAAAAATAGAGTAACAAATGACACAGTTTAGGGAGAAGAGCAGTATACTGGCAACAAATAAACAGTAGTTAATTGCAGGCATTGCTAAATGCTATGAAGAAAAATAAAGCAGGGTATAAGGAAATAGAGAATAGCAGCTGGGGGTACTGGGGGAGGGTATTATTTTACTATTTACAATATCTTTTTTATTTTATATAGGAAGACAGCCAATCAACAATGTTGTGAGAATTTCACGTGGACAACTAAGGGACTCAGCCATACATATGCAAGTATCCATTCTCCCCCAAACTCCTGGAGGGTGTTGTTTTAGACAGAGTTGTTAGGAAAGGCCTCTCTGAGGAGGTAGCCTTAAGAGTAGAGACCCAGATCTGTCTAACCAGTGGTCTCCACAGTCGCTGCCACTCACAGTGCCCTTCCTCCTCACATCCCGTTAACCTGGCCTGTGCTCAGGCTACCAACACAGCCCGTGGGAGGGCTCACCACTCCTCACCCGCAGCAGCCTCCCCCTTCACCCTCAGCTTGCTCCCTTCCTAAGCAGGTAGGGGGCCATGGTTCCTCCCACTGCTCCTCTCCCTTCTGCTCTCTGGCCCCAATGTTCAGCAACTCACCAGGGCATTGTTGCTCCCCAGAAAACCTAGACCCCACCTGGCCCAGCTCACAAGGACACCTGGGCTACATATTTCTATGTCCAAATGGTCCCTCACTTCTGTCACTGTCTGGAGACATCAGAGAAAAGGGGCAAAAGTTCTGGGGGGCGGGGGGCGGGGAACCTTCCCTTGCTCAGGGAGGAGAATGGGAGGGAAGTGGGTGGTGGGATACACTGGGAAAGGATGAGTAGCCTGAGGTCAGGGGAAACGGGTATGGAAGGAAATGAGGCTGGCGTTAATGCAGCGACATAGATGGGCCTAGAGATTGTCATACTGAGTGAAACAAGAAAGAGAGATATCAAATGACAGCCCTTATGTGTGGAATCTAAAAAGAGATGATACAAATGATCTTATAAAACAGATAGAGCCTCAGAGATTTAGAGAACAAACTTATAGTTGCTGGGGGGCAGGATGTGTGGGGAGGGATAGTTAGGGAGTTTGGAATGGACCTGTACATTCTGCTATATTTAAAATCGATAACAACAAGGACCTACTGTATAGCTCATGCAACACTGCTCAGTGTTATGTGACAGCCTGGATGGGAGGCGAGTTTGGGGGAGAATGGGTACATGTATATGTAGGGCTGAGTCCCTTTGCTGTTCACCTAAAACTATCACAACATTGTTAATCAGCTATACCCCAATAAAAACAAAAAGTTAAAAAACAAAATAATATTCCCCACAACAACAACAAAACGAAATGAGGCTGGATGGAGGTGGAGGACTGGGGCCGGGAATGCCTGCTTCCCATATGAACCCTGTTCTTGGGGCTTCCTCTAGTGGCCCTTGAACAAGCATCCCCTGATGCGATGAGGAGGTAAGCAGACAGAATCAACCTCTCTAACACTGGATTTATCCAGGTCCCGTCACTGTTGTCAGTCTCCTGGATGCCCATCTCCCTCCCATGGAAGTTCAGGGCTGCAGCAGTCAAGGGAGTGGGGACAGTTAACTTGAATGTGTATACAGCTGGTATTCTCCTTCCAGGCTTAGAAGGACTATCTCATTTAGCACTGGTAGTGGTAGAAACAGTAATAGCTAACATGTATTGAGTGTGCGCCATGTGCTTACCAAGTCAGTGCTTTGCAGGTATTATCTCACTTAACGCCCAACAATCCAGTGCGAT